CAATAAAGCTAGGGATCCTTAACCTTGTCAAACCATGTGTAAAAAAAAAAAAAAAAAAAAAAAAAAAAAAAAAGAGAGAGATAGAGAGAGAGAGAGAGAGATAAAAGGGGGAGAGATTGAGAGAGAGATTAGAGAGATAGAGAGAGAGAGAGAGAGAAGGAGAGAGAGAGAGATAGAGAGAGAGAGAGAGAAGAGAGAGTGAGAGGAGAGAGAGAGAGAGAGAGAGAGAGGAGAGATATAAGAGAGGGGATTAGAGAGAGAGATAGAGAGTAGAGGAGAGATAGAGAGAGAGATAGAGAGAGAGAGAAGATGAGAAGGAGATAAAGAGGGTAGAGAGAGAGAGAGAAGAGAGAGAGAGAGAGGAGGGGAGAGACGGAGAGAGAGAGAGAGAGAGAGAGAGAAGAGAGAGAGAGAGAGAGAGAGAGAATTTTGGGAAATGTGGAGCGAATGCATGGGAGTTTGAACAAAGTGTGAGAGTACTTGTGATTCGGGATTTCAGTGTTAAAGTGGGTAAAAATGTTGTGGAGGGAGTAGTAGGTAAATTTGGGGTGCGAGGGGTAAAATGAAGAGGGTGGGTGAGTTTCAGTAGAGAGGAATAAATGGGATTAGGTGGGGTTTCTTTTAGAGTTAGAGCTAAAGAAGGAGTAGCAATAATGTTGAAGGATAAGCTATGGCAGGAAAAGAGGAATTATAAATGTATTAATTCAAGGATTATGTGGAGAAAAATAAGGTTTTGGGTGTGAAAGAGGGTTATAGTAAGCGTACATGCACTGGGGAAGAGAGAAGGGATAGAGGAGAGAGAGAAATTTTGGGAAATGTTGAGTGAATGTGTGGGGAGTTTTGAACCAAGTGTGAGAGTATTTGTGGTTGGAGATTTTAATGCCAAAGTGGGTAAAAATGTTGTGGAGGGAGTAGTAGGTAAATTTGGGGTGCCAGGGGTAAATGAAAATGGAGAGCCTTTAATTGAGCTATGTGTAGAAAGAGGTTTGGTAATAAGTAATACATATTTTATGAAAAAGAGGATAAATAAATATACAAGGCATGATACAGCACATAATGAAAGTAGTTTGTTAGATTATGTATTGGTGGATAAAAGGTTGATGGGTAGGCTCCAGGATGTACACGTTTATAAAGGGGCAACTGATATATCGGATCATTATTTAGTTGTAGCTACAGTTAGAGTAAGAGGAAGATGGGAAAAGAGGAAAATGGCAACAAGCAAGAGGGAGGTGAAAGTGTATAACTAAGGGAGTAGGAAGTTCGGGTGAAATATAACCAACTATTGGCAGAAAAGGTGGGCTGGTGCAGGTATGGTAGTGGGGGGGGGGGGGGAGGGGGGGGGGAGGGGGGGGGGTTGAGAGGGTTCGAATAGTTTTAAAAATGCAGTACAGTGGACCCTCGACCAACGATATTAATCCGTTCCTGAGAGCTCATCGTTAATTGAAATTATCGTTAGTCGAGTTAATTTTCCCCCTAAGAAATAATGGAAATCAAATTAAACCGTTTCAAGACACCCAAAAGAATTGAAAATTTTTTTTTACCCACATGAAATATTAATTTTAATTTCACACAAACTGAAGAAGACATGTACAATTACATGACACTTACCTTTATTGAAGATCTATTGATGACTGATGGGATGGGAGGAGGGGAGACTGTGGATGGTGTTAGTGTTTAGAAGGGGGAAACCCTTTCATTAGAACTTGAGGTGTCAAGTCCTTTTCCGGGGTTACTTCCCTTCTTCTTTTAAAGCCATAGGACCAGCTTGAGGTCACTGGACCCTTTGGGACACAACATATCTGTCCATAGAGGGGCCCGTACTCCCGTTCCTTTATGACATTCCTAAAGTGTTTCACAACATTGTCAGTGTCACAATTAAACACTTGTTCAGGTTTCAATTCTTCACTGTCTATGTACTCCTTGAATTCCTGCACATATTTTTCAGCTGCTTTTTGGTCCAAACTGGCAGCCTCACCATGCCTTATCACACTATGTATGCCACTACGATTCTTAACTCTCTCAAACCAACCTTTGCTGGCCTTAAATTCACTCACATCACCACTAGTTGCATGCATTTGTCTAATTAAATCCTCATGCAACTTCCTAGCCTTTTCACATATGATCGCTTGAGAGATTCTATCTCCTATCTGTTTTTCGTTTATCCACAACAATAACAGTCTCTCAACATCCTCTATCACTTGCAATCTCCGTTTCGAAAACATAGTTGCCCCTTTGGCAAGAACAGCTTCCTTGATTGCCGTTTTCTTGGCCACAATAGTAGCGATGGTTGATTGGGGTTTTGTGTACAACCTGGCCAGCTCGGAGACACGCACTCCACTTTCATACTTAGCAATGATCTCTTTCTTCATATTCATAGTAATTCTCACCCTTTTTGCTGTAGGGTTGGCACTAGAAGCTTTCTTGGGGCCCATGGTGACTTATTTTACAGGTGCAATCACTAAAAACGCTGTGATAATATGAAATGTTCCAATTGTATGTCTGGATGGGACTGCGGTGGCTGGCTGGCTTGTAAACACTGGCCACAAGTGGACGCGTCTCAGATGGAACAATTTGTGTTAGTCGAGTTTTTTAGTGATAGTCGAGGCAAAATTTTTGCGTTAAAATGTATCACTAGTCGGATTTAACGTTAGACGATGCAATCGTTGGTCGAGGGTCCACTGTATTAGAATGTGGGGCAGAAGTTTGTGGTTATAGGAGGGTGTGTGCAGGAGGAATGAGGAGTGGTTGGTGGAATGATGAAGTAAAGGGTGTGATAAAAGAGAAAAAGTTAGCTTATGAGAGGTATTTACAAAGCAGAAGTGTTATAAGAACAGCAGAGTATATGGAGGGTAAAAGAAAGGTGAAGAGAGTGGTGAGAGAGTGCAAAACGAGAGCGGATGATAGAGTGGGAGAGGCACTGTCAAGAAATTTTAATGAAAATAAGAAAAAATTTTGGAGTGAGTTAAACAAGATAAGAAAGCCTAGGGAACAAATGGATTTGTCAGTTAAAAACAGAGTAGGGGAGTTAGTAGATGGAGAGATGGAGGTATTGGGTAGATGGCGAGAATATTTTGAGGAACTTTTAAATGTCGACAAAGAAAGGGAGGTGGTAATTTCATGCACTGGCCAGGGAAGTATACCATCTTTTAGGAGTGAAGAAGAACAGGATGAGACTGTGGGGAAGGTGCATGAGGCATTATGTAGAATGAAAGGGGGTAACTGACAGGATCATGACAGAAATGTTAAAAGAAGGGGGCGACATAGTGTTGGAGTGTTTGGTATTTTTGTTTAATAAATGTATGAAATAGGAGAAGGTACCTAGGGATTGGCAGAGTGTGTGTATAGTCCCTTTATATAAAGGGAAGGGGGACAATATAGATTGTAAAAATTAATGAGGAATAAGTTTACTGAGTATACCAGGAAAAGTGTACGGTAGGGTTATTACTGAAAGAATTAGAGGTAAGACAAAATGTAGAATTGCGGATGAGCAATGAGGTTTAAGAGTGGGTAGGTTAGATAGGAGTGAATGGAGACGAATGGTTTTTGGGACCTGACGAGCTGTTGGAGTGTGAGCAGGGTAATATTTAGTGGAGGGATTCAGGGAAACCGGTTACTTTTATATAGCCGGACTTGATTACTGGAGATGGGAAGTACAATGCTTGCACTTTAAAGGAGGGTTTTGGGATATTGGCAGGATATGTTATATATCTTTATATATGCCTCTAAACTGTTGTATCTGGGCATCTCTGCAAAAACAGTGATTATATATGAGTGTTGAATGATGAAAGTATTTTCTTTTTGGGTCACCCTGCCTCGGTGGGAGACAGCCGACTTGTTGGGGGGGGGGGGGGGGAACCATGTATGTGTAGTGTGACCAAAGTGTAAGCAGAAGTAACAAGATGTACCTGAAATCTTCCATGTTATGAGACGGAAAAGACACCAGCAATCCTACGATCATGTAAAACAAGTACAGGCTTTCATTTTACATTCACTTGGCAGGATAGTAGTACCTCCCTGGGCAGTTCCTGTCTACCAACCTACTTCTAGTTCTTGTTCTTATTTCCTCTTATCTTTATGGGCAAGTGGAACATAATTCTTCCTCTGTAAGCCATGCATATCATAAAAGGCGACTAAAATGTCGAGAGCAAGAGGCTAGTAACCCTTTCTCCTGTATACATTACTAATGTTAAAAAGAGAAACTTTTTTTTTTCTTTTTTTGAGCCACCCTGCCTTGGTGGGATACAGCTGGTTTGTTGAAAGAAGATTTTCAAAATTATTTTAGATAATTATAATAGGTAAGCATTTCAAACACTAAGTGTTTGATACTTAATACTGTTGCTGAAACTGACACCTTCCCTACAACCTTGCCTCAATGAGTTACGTACATCTCCAAAATTATTTTTCTTACTATGAAAACTTACTGATCTGAAGAAAACTGACGAATATCACTATTTCAGTTAATCATTAGCAATGACTACATAGACAAAAATAATAGTAAAACAAGGCTTTTCACAGAAAGCAGCTCCCTAGCTGCCTTTCAAAAACACATCACAACCAAAAACTCATTCATCAAACTGTAATATTACTACACAACTTTTTAAGTGTATTACATTTCCAACCTCTAAAACTCAAACCTGGCTAGCCAGTTTTTTTGAAACCTTTCAGATACAATATTTGCTTCATATAAAGAACAGCTGTTGTCCATACTCCATGCTCAAAACACTACTACTGCATCTTTTTATATGTAAACATCTACAACAGAAGCTTTTAGGTCAATATTTCAAAGTTATTACAATGCATGTCTTAGAGCAACACTGTTTAGAATGTCAGGAAGCTCAAGGAATAACCTTATACAGGTACAGTGCAGCAGAAACAACTGGAATCGGTCAAAATTATCTGTTTTTTTCTGAGTACTATTAAATAATCCAAAGATCAAAATGTTAATAAATGTCAAATTTCAGTGCAAAATATGAAAATCTCAACAAAGAAGGTAACATTACCAGTAAATAGGTGATTAAGAAGATCCTCAGTATTATCCCTGATGCGATGAGAGCGTTGATAGTGGAAGGCCTCCCTAATAAGTCCATTTGCCAGCAGGAGGGTCAAATGTAATCTTATATCATCCAGGTCTACTTTGGGAGGCTGACGAATCTGAGCATATGTAAGAGCTCTGTTGTGCTCACCCTTTTTGAAAGAAAAAGTGGTACAAGTTACTCAATGAAACTTAAGAAATGCAACAATAATAAAAAACTAGATTCACATTATACTATTAAGACATAACCAATCTCTTAACACAGTAAATTTCACAATAATTTCATGGAAATCATGAAAAAATGAAAAGGATCCTTAGCTACAATACTAACTCGAACATTATTTTGGACACCATGATAATGTACCAGAACCCATGGACATGACAACAGACGTGGAGAACAACCACTGTGAAAGAACAGTGAAATTCCAAGCGCTTTCGTGACTTCTCACATTATCATGTGGGAAGTCACAAAAGCGCTTGGAATTTCACTATTCTTTCACAGTGGTTGTTTTGCATATTCCGAAATCACCTGTTTACTGTGATCTTATTGCATGACAAGAAATGTGCTTATTTCTGATATTTCTCATACACAGTTTAATATGTAGATATTCACTGAAAATAGCATGTGTATCTATATCCCTATTTTCCTACTTTACATTTTGCAAATTAGTTGTAAAATTTTTACCAATCATTCTCAATGATCATAAACAGTCTCACAGAGCTAATGTAATGGAATTTGATAGTGATATAGTGCTTAGCATGCAAGATTTGCAAGCTAAGCATTGATTCAATAAACTGTAAAAATATTATATTGTAAATTGACTATTTAGGTGTCTAAAGAATGCTGCTCCTCTTAGCATTCACACTGGATTACTTTTAACTTTATGCCCTCTTGGAAATGATGTTAGCCTTGGCAAAATTTAACTCCAACACATTTGTTTATACCAAAATTGCATGAACCCACCAGCTTAAGGAGAGAAAAATTGTTGTGCATGTTCTATAATGTATCAGTTGCCTTTAAATAATTTTTTAGAAGATTATGTCATTAAGTAAGGATAACATTTTTGTAAAACTGACCTGATAAAGAAAAGCCTTCATAATGCGCCGGTGTTGCCAAGAAGTGATATCATTTGTGTTGACAAGTGGATCTAGCAACACATTAAGTCCCTCCTGTATAGATAAATGTAACACAATTATATAGCATTCCCTAAATAGTCTATGTATAATAGCACACATTCAATTTACCAATAATTGTTTTTTAAATATCTTAAATGTTTCTCATACTTGCGTTTTTCTTTTGGGCCACCCCACCTCGGTGGGATATGGCTGGTACGTTGAAAGAAGAAGAAATGTTTCTTATCTATTCTGCACATATTTGACTATAAGAGAGTATTTTTTAAAGATAAGAAATATGGACCTGACGAGCTGTTGGAGTGTGTACAGGGTAGTATTTAGTGAAGGGAGTAAGGGAAACCGGTTATTTTTATACAGCTGGACTTGAATACTGGAAATGGGAAGTACAATGCCTGCACTTTAAAGCAGAGGTTTGGGATATTGGCAGTTTTGGATGGATATGTTATATAACTTTATATATGCTTCTAAACTGTTGTATCTGGGTGCCTCTGCAAAAACAGTGAGTATGTGTGAGTGAGGCGAAAGTGTTGAATGATGATGAAAGTATTTTCTTGTTGGGGATTTTCTGTCCTTTTTGGGTCACCCTGCCACGGCGGGACACGGTCAACTTGAGCGAGCGAGCGAGCGAGCGACACACACACACACACACACACACACACACACACACAGAGAGAGAGAGAGAGAGAGGGGGGGGGGGGGGGGGGTAAATGAGGTTTTGTGGGTGAGAGGCTTGGACTTCCAGCAAGCGTGCATGAACATGTTAGATAGGAGTGAATGGTTTTTGGGACCCAACAAGCTGTTGGAGTGTGAGCAGGGTAATATTTTGTGAAGGGATTCAGGGAAACCTGTTAACCTCACTTGAGTCCTGGAAATGGAAAGTACAATGACTACACTTTTAAGGAGGGGTTTGGGATATTGGCAGTTAGGAGGGCCATCTAAACTGTCATATCTGAGTGCCTCTGCAAAGACAGTGACTGTGTATGAGTGATGGTTAAAGTGTTGAATGATGATGAGAGTTTTTTCTTTCTTTTTGGGTCACCCTGCCTTGGTGGGAAACAGAAGACATGTTAAAAAAACAAAAATGAAATATAAGTTCTAGGTAGTAGGTTGGTAGACAGCAACAGCTCAGGGAGGTAGTACTGTCCTGCCAAGTGAGTGTAAAACGGAAGCCTGTAAATGTTTTACATGATGCTAGGAATGCTGGTGTATTTTTTCTGCCTCAAACATGCAAGATTTCAGGCATGTCTTCCTACCTCTACTTACACATAGGTCACACTACACATGCATTACAAGCATATATATACACCCCCTCTGAGTTTTCTTCTTTCTAACTAGTTCTTGTTTAATTCCTTTTACCTCCATGGAAAAGTGAAACAGAATTCTTCCTCCACAAGCCACGAGTGCCGTAAGAGGCAACTAACATGCTGTGAGCAAGGGGCTAGTAACCCCTTCTCCTGAATACATTACTAAAGTTAAAAAGAGAGACTTTCATTTTTAGCATGTAATTGTTTTACATGACGATAGGATTGCTGGTGTCTTTTGTTTGTCTCATAAATATGCAAGATTACAGGTATGTCTTGCTACTTCTACGTACACTTAGGTCACAATACACATACATGCACATGTTTAGTTATACACACACATCTGAGTTTTCTTTGATTTTACCTTAATAGTTCTTGGTCTTATTACTTGTCCTTTTATATCAATGGGGAAGTGGAATAAGAATCTTTCCTCTGTAAGCCATGCGTGTTGTAAAAGTCAACTAAAATGCCAGGAACAATGAGCTAGTAACCCCTTTTCCTGTAATAATTACTAAAAAGAACAAGAAGAAGGAAATTGTCAAAGTGGGAAGTCTGAATGTGCTTGGATGTTGTGCAAATGATAAGAAAGAGATGATTGTGGAGGTTATGAATGAGAAGAAGCTGGATGTCCTGGCTTTAAGTGAAACAAAGCTGAAGGGAGTGGGAGAGTTTCAGTGGAGAGGAATAAATGGGATTAGGTCAGGGGTTTCAAACAGCATTAGAGCTAAAGGAGTAGCAATAATGTTGAAGGATAAGTTATGGCAGAAAAAGAGGGACTATAAATGTATTATACTGGGTTATAGTAAGCATATATGCACCTGGAGAAGAGAGAAGTGTAGAGGAGAGAGAGAGATTTTGGGAAATGTTGAGTGAATGTGTGGAGAGTTTTGAACCAAGTGTGAGAGTAATGGTGGTTGAGGATTTCAATGCTAAAGTGGGCAAAAATGTTGTTGGAGGGAGTAGTAGGTAAATCTGGGGTGCCAGGGGTAAATGAAAATGGGGAGCCTTTAATTGAGCTATGTGTAGAAAGAGGTTTGGTAATAAGTAATACATATTTTATGAAGAAGAGGATAAATAAATATACAAGGTATGATATAGCACATAACGAAAGTAGCTTGTTAGATTATGTATTGGTGGATAAAAGGTTGATGGGTATGCTCCAGGATGTACGTGTTTATAGAGGGGCAACTGATATATCGGATCATTATTTAGTTGTAGCTACAGTTAGAGTAAGAGGTAGATGGGAAAAGAGGAAAATGGCAACAACAAGCAAGAGGGAGATGAAAGTGTATAAACAAAGGGAAGAGGAAGTTCAGGTGGGATATAAGCAACTATTGGCAAAAAGGTGGGGTGGTGCAAGTATGAGTAGTGGGGGGGGGGGGGAGGTTGAAGAGGGTTGGAATTGTTTAAAAAATGCAGTATTAGAATGTGGGGCAGAAGTTTGTGTTTATATGAGGGTGGGTACAGGAGGAAAGAGGAGTGATTGGTGGAATGATGAAGTAAAGGGTGTGATAAGAGAGAAAAAGTTAGCTTTTGAGAGGTTTCTACAAAGCAGAAGTGTTATAAGAAGAGTAGAATATTTTATTTTTTTAACAAGTCGGTCGTCTCCCACCGAGGCAGGGTGACCCAAAAAGAAAATACTTTCATCATTCAACACTTTCACCTCACTCACACATATCACTGTTTTTGCAGAGGTGCTCAGAATACAACAGTTTAGAAGTATATACATATAAAAATACACAATATATCCCTCCAAACTGCCAATATCCCAAACCCCTCCTTTAGAGTGCAGGCATTGTATTTCCCATTTCCAGGACTCAAGTCCAGCTATATAAAAAATAACCAGTTTCCCTGAATCCCTTCACTAAATATTACCCTGCTCACACTCCAGCAGATAGTCAGGTCCCAAATACCATTCGTCTCCATTCACTCCTATCGAACACGCTCATGCACGCTCGCTGGAAGTGCAAGCCCCTCGCCCACAAAACCTCCCTTACCCCTTCCTTCCAACCTTTTCGAGGATGACCCCTACCCCGCCTTCCTTTCCCTACAGATCTATACGCTCTCCATGTCATTCTACTTTGATCCATTCTCTCTAAATGACCAAACCACCTCAACAACCCCTCTTCAGCCCTCTGACTAATAGTTTTATTAACTCCACACCTACTAATATCCACACTCTGAATTTTCTGCATATTTACACCACACATTGCCCTTAGACAGGACATCTCCACTGCCTCCAACCGCCTCCTCGTTGCTGCATTCACAACCCAAGCTTCACACCCATATAAGTGTTGGTACTACTATACTTTCATACATTCCCTTCTTTGCCTCCATAGATAACTTTTTTTTGTCTCCACATATACCTCAATGCACCACTCACCTTTTTTCCCACAACAATTCTATGATTAACCTCATCCTTCAAAAATCTATCTGCCGACATGTCAACTCCCAAATATCTGAAAACATTCACTTCTTCCACACTCCTACCCAATTTGATATCCAATTTTTCTTTAAATCATTTGATAACCTCATCACCTTACTCTTTTCTATGTTCACTTTCAACTTTCTACCTTTACACACCCTCCCAAACTCATCCTCTAACCTTTGCAATTTTTCTTTACAATCTCCCATAAGCACAAGCAAAAAGCAACTGTGTCAATTCCCATTTTGTATTTGATTCCCCATAATTTAATCCCACCCCTCTCCCGAACACCCTAGCATTTACTTCTTTTACAACCCTATCTATAAATATATTAAACAATAATGGTGACATTACACATCCGTGTCTAAGACCTACTTTTACCGGAAAGTAGTTTCCCTCTCTTCTACACACCCTAACCTGAGCCTCACTATCCTCATAAAAACTCTTTACAACATTTAGTAACTTATCACCTATTCCATACACTTGCAACATCTGCCACATTGCTCCCCTATCCACTCTATCAATAAATCAATAAATGCAATAAAAACTTCCCTACCTTTATCTAAATACTGTTCACATATATGCTTCAATGTAAACACTTGATCTACACATCCCCTACCTACTCTGAAACCTCCTTGCTCATCCGTAATCCTACATTCTGTCTTACCTCTAATTCTTTCAATTATAACCCTACCATACACTTTCCCTGGTATACTCAGTAAACTTCTTCCCCTATAACTTTTACAATCTCTTTTGTCCCCCTTCCCTTTATATAAAGGGACTATACATGCTCTCTGCCAATCCCTAGGTACCTTCCCCTCTTTCATACATTTTTATTTATTTTTTTTTTTATTATCACACTGGGCGATTCCCACCAAGGCAGGGTGGCCCGAAAAAGAAAAACTTTCACCATCATTCACTCCATCACTGTCTTGCCAGAAGGGTGCTTTACACTACAGTTTTTAAACTGCAACATTAACACCCCTCCTTCAGAGTGCAGGCACTGTACTTCCCATCTCCAGGACTCAAGTCCGGCCTGCCGGTTTCCCTGAATCCCTTCATAAATGTTACTTTGCTCACACTCCAACAGCACGTCAAGTATTAAAAACCATTTGTCTCCATTCACTCCTATCAAACACGCTCACGCATGCCTGCTGGAAGTCCAAGCCCCTCGCACACAAAACCTCCTTTACCCCCCTCCCTCCAACCTTTCCTAGGCCGACCCCTACCCCGCCTTCCTTCCACTACAGACTGATACACTCTTGAAGTCATTCTGTTTCACTCCATCTCTTCTACATGTCCGAACCACC